CATGAGCATGATCAAAGAGTTTCTACAGCCACGAAGAGAGTCAGTACTTGTAGAAGACAAGGAGAAGGTTTCCATGATGCTTCCCATGAGAGTGATCGATCAGCCCGAGCTTTCTCTAGGACCCTCTATATCAGTTAACTTGGAATCAGATGCAAATTTTTGCAAGAAGCGGAAGCATAGTACTTGGGACGGGTCCCTGAGTGCTACTCAGAGAAGCATTGAGCTCCAGCTCAATGATCCCTTGCCCATGGATTGGGAGCAGTGCCTAGACCTACAAGTGAATTTCTCTCTCTTTTATACTTGGTTTTAGTATATGTGAAGGATGCTTTCTCAATGTCTATCCACCCTATACTATATGGTGAGCCTGAGGGACATCAATCATTGGATTAGTGAAGAAATCCCTAAGTACTAGTGATCCAACGGTTGATATCCCTTTCATGTACCATTGCTTCTCACTTTTGCAATAATGACTGTTTTACCATTCCCTCTCCCATTTTATTTCCTAACTATCTTGGTGTTTGTTATTGGCAGTCTGGGAGGATGTACTACTTGAATAGGAAGACATTGCAGAAGAGTTGGGTGAGGCCAAGGGAGCAAAATCTAGACTTGGAGCTCAACATTTCAACTCTCCCAAGCTCGAAAGTGAAGAATCAAGCCAGCTCTAATACTACTAATACAAGTCAAGGACAGCATCCCATAAAGGATACAAATTCAAGCAGCAGCATGGTTGCAGTTGCCTGCCGCAACTGCCACCTCCTCGTCATGCTCTCAAAGTCTTCGCCCTCATGCCCAAATTGCAAATATGTGCACTCGTTGCCCCATCCTGAACTTAGAAAGATTGAGGCTGTGAAGCCATTGGAAACTCTAAGCCTACTGCATTAGATTCCAAGAGGAAGAAGATAAGGAAGACTCCAGTAGAAATAAGAAACCACCTTGTTGATAGCACGTAATGTAACCATGTAATGTAACCATAGACAGATGTTTAGGAACTTGTATGATTATGAACTTTCTTATTGTCAACTACTCTAGGGTCGTCCAGGTTCTAAACTATGCAACTCTTGGTCTTTGTTTATGAGAAGGTATCCAATGGTTCTGATCTATGACATTGATAGAGCGATATCAACCCTTGGACCAGTGCAAAAAACCTTAAAGTCTAGTGAACCATGGGTTGATATTTGTTTGGTGCACCATTAATATCATGGACGGGACCACTCCAAACCATTGGATACTTCCTCTTAAGTTTGATGGATAAGACCGCAAACAATATACTAATTTTGCACTGGAAGAGGGGGAAATGTGGGTTTCTTTCTCTAGAAACCGCTAGCTATCATTAATTAATTATGAATCTCTAAGAACCCCACATTTTTGGATCATGCAAGAGTAATATGCAATTTGCAGTCCAGCCTGTTGTGCCTCGAGAAACCAAACCAACTGTCGGAAGAGACAAGCCAACACAACCAAAACAATAGTACAAACACAATAACACCAGTTTTAACATGGTTTGGCGAGATGCCTACGTCCACGGGGCAAGGAGGGGGGAGTTTTTACTATTAGAAATCAAGAAGAACAAACTAGGGTTACAAATCTCTCATAAACCCTCAACAAATTAACTCTCAATCTCTCCAAACACTCCTAGAATAGAAGCCCAAAGAAAACCCCTTCAATCTGCTAAAAACCTCTTGCTTATAAACCCTAGAATCGAGTATGGGTATTTATAGAAAACCCAAACGAAACGGGTCTGGAAAACAGACCCAGCCCAAAACCGTTACGGCGATCGACCGTGAGGGTCGACCGCGATCCATCGCGGTCTACCGCCCTCAATCCCAGAACAGCCCCAATCTCCAGCAACTTCTGCGGTCGACCGCGGTGGTCGACTGCCACGAAAACAGAAACTTCTGCGGTCGACCGCCACGGTCGACCGCCACAGGTGCAGACGCACAGTAAGGACTGTGCACAAACGCGGTTGACCGCCAAAGCCCGCGGTCAACAGCCAAACTGCCAGAAGTTGAAACTGAGCCTGAATCTGCTATTCTACCAATTCTATAAATCTCCACCTCGGCGAAGATTCTACCAAACTGAGCCGACACCAACCAAACCAATGCCTCACTTGTTGCATCCAGTACGCCATGGTAACGGAGTCATAACAACGGACCCCATCCACAACATGTCGAGACCCAAATGGGAGTGCGAACACTCACCTCAAACCAAAAGTGTCTACTCACCAAATCGGCTGCATCAAAACTGACTGCCTACGTATCCTTTCCAAGGAATCAAGCATTCACGTAGTTCACCCCCATGGCCTCCAAAGGCCCTCAATCCAAACTGCGGCTGATAGCATCATCAACGACTCCAAACTGAAGTGATCCAAACACCTCCACCTGAGGTGAAACAATGGTCGTATCCAAGCTATATCCACCAGCTGCACTCGGATCTACCAACTCGTCATCCGCATCCGTATCCACATGACTCCCACGCTATGCTACCTCAGCTGGAAAGCCCAATAATGTAGAATAACCTGGAGCATGTGGGGTAAGCTCCACCCAATGTGAAGTAGCATCACTCTCCACCCGCTGCGGTATCCCTCTGATCTGATCAATACTCTTTACCTGCCAAGAGTCCAAAGTGACAAACCTGCTCAGACCAAACTCAGAAGTTCCTAACTGATAGCTGAATGAACTCCTGAATCCCAAATGCGTAATCGGATCCAATCTCACATCAACGATGTGACCAAGTGCTGGGTAGCCAAATATCCGACGTTGACCAAAATCTGAAGCAGCTCCACCAAATCTAACAACTCTACATGCAGCAGTCGGCAACCTCATAAGATGGCCCAAACATGTCAAAGCCTGAATACCAAATCCACTGCTCGACAACCAACGTCGATCCTCCTCCAGAAAAGAACGGCTCACTAGATCCGCCATCTCATCACGTCGCATCACTGTCTCCTCTCCTCTGAAGTGTCTCTAGCTGCCATGAGCTCGACACCAATGCAAGAAAGGACCCATACTAGAACTAGTACTATGGGTAACCTTTCTGCCCATACACCTCCTCCATCTGTTACGAACTACTAAGGCTTCATACCAACGGGACTTGGTTCCAACCCATAAATACCTAGTACAATCCCCAACATAGGAAATGAAATAACCATTACCTCCCGATGATGTCTCCTCGGAAGGCCCCTTAATGCCTGACTGAACACCTCCAATAAGACCCCTCGATCGGTGGATAGAAGTGTCTAACTCCACCTCGGTCTTCTCGCTCATCTCACTGTGCTCAAAGGTCTTCACCCTGTAGGTCATAGCACTTCTTAATAATCTGTGCACGGCATAGCCAATCATATACCCCAGCACTAAATAATGCCACAGTCTAGCCAAAGAAGTCGTCAGCGCTCTATCAATCACCGTGCTCCCAAGCAGATAATATAAGTTACTCCTCCTGACGCCCTTCATCACAATCATGGACCCCAATGTGATCTTCAAGCGAGAGATAATATAAGTTACTCCTCCTGACGCCCTTCATCACAATCATGGACCCCAATGTGATCTTCAAGCGAGGATCCGTCAAGGTCACCTTATAGCCTGCTGCCTCCAATACCCCAAGTGAAATGATGTTCTTCCTTAGTTGAGGAACAAACCTCACATCAACCTGTAAGGTGAAAATTTGATTTCCCGAAAACAGTGAATTTCGTTTGTATTAATAAGAAAGCTTATTACAAACTAATAATCAAATGTTTACAACAGAAGCAGAGGGAATGCCCTCTTTGTTTTGTGTGGGGACTTTAGGTGGCTATAGGACGCTTCGCTCGATGCTCGGGTCGAGTCTGCTTCCCTTGGACCGTTCGATCGGGGTTGCTGGAAGCTTCAGTACTCGGTAGAAGCTCGAGTCGAAAGAGTTCGGGTCTGCTTAGTTCGCCGGCGATCGAAGCTCGGAACTAGGCAATGGCGCTGTAACACAAGGGTTATGCGAATAGCTTGGTCTCAACTTTTTTCTCCAAGTTTTTTCGACCTCTCCTAAAGCTTGCTGGAAGAGGCTTTTAAATGGAAGAAGGACAGCTTGACTATTCCTTGAATTATGGGATGTGACCATACATTGTTCGGAGACATCCTGCTAGTCATTCGTACCGTCAGTGGTCATTCGAAGAGCTGTGCTCTGCATCACGCTACGTAGGAGTGGGAAAGCCCCTCCTCGTATGCGTGACAACGGCTGTCAGATGCTTGCGTGGATCTGACCAAACACCGAGCGCCAGCGACTCTCGTCCTCTTGCTTGGACAACTGAGGTGAGCCGCATTTATGAGGGTGCAGGCTGTTTCGGCGCCTGTCCGCTCATTCGTACTGTGGACGGCCATCTGACGGGCCTGGAGTCAGGCCAAGAGGGGCGGGAAAGCGTGTTCCTGGTACTCGAGTGGGTTTGGACAGTTCGCCGAATGCTGGTAGATCCGTCTCCTGACTCAGACAGCCGAGGTGAGTCGCATTTATGAATGCTCAGGTCGACTCAATACCTGTCCAATCCTTCGTACTATGAGCGGCCGCTTGACGGCCTTGGGGTATTGTGCCCTCTCTCTTTGGGTCGAGAGAGAGAGATGGGAAGGCCCATCTTAGCACGTGGGGTAGCGGGTGCGGGTGGCTTCGAGATTTGCAAGCGGATTTGACTTTGGACTCGGGCGGGCGAGTTGCGTTAAAGGCGAATTTCCGCTATTCTAACTGATCTCAACTCGTGCAGGCGAGTCGATTATTCAGGCGAATCTGGAACCGAGCACGTTTGACGACTATGCGGCTTAGGCAGGCGACTTCTTGAGGGCGAATTTCCTGTAGGCTTATCAGAGGTATTTTTTACCATCTACAAGACCCCCTTCAAAGTTTTCAGACCTAAACTGGCTTGCGTGGGGTCTGGAATACTTTGAACGAAGAAATTCTCGGCGAAGCAAGCGCATTTGATTGCATTTGATTTCTTTTAGGATTTTTAGCAAACCCTCAGCTATCAACGGGTTTGATGTGCCTTTACCGATTACCGTTTGAATCGGGCTAGTCATACTATTCCCCTCAGTATGATGAGTTGCTGGACAGTTTCTCTTAGGCTTAACACTAAGATTTCTGCTCTAACCCTTAGCCGTCTGAGGCGTGGGTTTAACCGTTTAAGCGAGGTCATTCTATTGGCTTCGCTTGTAATTTTACCTTTAAGGGCGAATGGATTGTCAAGGCGAAATTAGTCTTTGGGGAGCCAAATTTCATGCGACTCGTGGGGTCGGGCCAAGTATTCGCAGGCGAGACCTCCCCCTTTTTGGGGCGGAACCAGATTAGATGGGAGATGGGCCATGTGTCTGCCTATAGGGCTTCGTGCTTCCCAGCCAAGGTGGCGCGGTCTCGTCGGGTCATGGTGATCGTGACTTGACAACATGATGTCAGCTTCGTGTGTTTCGCCCCACGACGCATCGTGGCCGTGGTTTTCGAACCTGGCCGTTAGATCAAGTCGGGAGTTTTGGTTCGGTTTTCGGGCTTTGACCGGCCCGTTCCCTTTTTCAATGGCTCTTCCGCAACTGTAGAACGAGTTGTGAAGGACAATCTGGGTCGTCGATTTCGATCGTGGCCACGTCTCTTGAACGTGAGTGTCTCGTTTTGCAAGTGCCATCAGAGCCACGCAAGCCCTTTCGCCTTTAAATAGGTTTCGTCCTTTTCCTCTTTTTGAAAGCTATTATGTGCGAAAATCTCCCAAAAGAGAAAGAATTCCCGCTTCGTTTCAATGGCGCTGAAATCCAAGAGGTGTAAAGGGAAAGGGTCTCGGACGCTACTCCGACCGCTTGTCCGCCGGTGCGACCGCCGACGTGCCTGAGGCGCGCTCGGGTAAGTTGAGAAAGTTTGCTTTAACGTTCTCGTGTTGGTCACCGCTGTCGTGCCAGGAAGATGAGTCCTGCTCATTTTACCTTGGTGGGTTAGGCAGTCCCCGTGATTTTGGTAAAACTGCCCCTTTTCAGGCGGATTTTACCTTCATCCGCGTTGGGCGATTCTAACCTTTATAGGCGAGATTG